TAGTTGATGATGATCCGAATGAATTGCACTACGGCAATGATGAAAGATCCCAGAGCGACGGTCCCCAGGTTGTAACGAACGTAACGGGAGGTGGAGCTGAAGACTGGATGCTTCTTCAAGTTGGCCTTCTTGTCCAGCGTCCAGTACCTGGGAGGAAAGTGAGAAGGAGGAGGAGGAGGAGGAGGAGGAGGAAGAGGAGGAGGAGGAGGAGGAGGAGGAGGAGGAGGTGGTGGTGGTGGTGGTGGAGGTTGTGGTGGTGGTGGTGGTGGTGGTGGAGGAGGAGGAGGAGGAGGAGGAGGAAACCAATCAGAAGGTTGGAGTGGAGGAGGAAAGAGCCAAGCTCAAGGCATGTCAGAGATCAACTCACCATGACGCAACAGCTCCGGCAACGATGAAGTAAGAGGACGAGATGGTGAAGTTGCTTGTCCATAGAAACATGAAGAGGTGGTACAGGCAGAAGTACTTGTACGTGTTGCCATCGAGAGCGACTGGTAAGATCGATTTCCAGTTGTCTGCAGCAACAAACTTGTCATGTTCAGAAAAGTAAAGGTTTGCTGCAGCGTTTTGACATAAGGAAGGTCTCATCATCATGGCATAACAGCCGGATGGAAGGTTTGACAACCTGTCGTGACGTTGAACAGGGAGACCGTATTGATCTCGTTGACATCAGCCTTGCCTTGTTGTATCAGAGCTGCAATCTGTACCCAATCATCAGAAGCTCGAACATGGCAAAGGAGCAGATCGGAGAACTAGCAACAACTTTCACACTGGAACAACAACAGCAAGTCCAAGGAAGAGGAGCGAGTAACACAACGAGAGTACGCGTCATGGCATGGATGGAACCTTGGAGGAGATGATCTTGTTCAGCGCCAAGTCCGTCGTCGAGTAGAGGTTGCACCATCTCGTCGCATCTTGGTTCAAGATGGTCTGATTGCTCTGGACCACAACAGTCTCCAGCTTCCAGCTCCCGTAGAAGTCCGCGCCTATTGTTGAGCACCTCCATTAACCAAATCTCAACACGAAATCTCCCAAACTACTCACTGCCGAATGCTCCGCTGATATCCCACGATCCACAACCTTTGCCATCACTGCAGTTGCGGATGTTGGCGACGAATCGAAAGGTCGAGGAGGATTCTGCATTGAGGTAGAAGGACAAACTCCCTGCTTGCATGTTCAGATCCTTCAAACTTCCAACCATGTCAGCAACCGGCTGCCGGCGACCAGACCGTTGACGAAGCGATCCTCTCGCTCTCAGGCTGTTTGTTATAGATCTGCACCAAGGAAACTCAGTGGCGGAGAAGGAAGGGGAGCACAGGAGTTGTCTAGCAGGGATGGAGCGGGTGAGATATTCTGCAGGAGTGAGGTACGGACCTTGCTTGCCAAGAGGATGTCTTTGACGCAAGTATTTGCGGAGTAGTTTCCAAGGCAAGTTCCGACAGGGAACGCGTCTGACTTGGTTGTGTTGGAGTACAGCTTGCATCTGCAGAAAAATGGTTTGAGCTGGTCTTTGACTCCAACAATACCAACTCACCTTTCAAGGCTCGTGATCGATGAAGTGGAACATTCTTGGCCTCGCAAGCTAGGGTGCGTGATTGTGTATATTCCTTCCATGTTCTCATCAGGCAATGATGTGGTGGGAGGAATGTCAGAGTACACGACTTTACCTGTAGCTGAACTTTGTGTGGTGGAGGAGTTTCTGGATGTATCTTGTCAGTATTTAAAAAAAAAGCAAACCAAGCAGGAAAGAAACATGAGTGCGATTGGGTGAGAGCAAGTTTGATAGCGATACTAGGGGATGAGGAAGTTGACGTGAATGCTGATGTGAAGAAGATATAGGGGGAGGAGAACAAGGAGTGATTCATGTTGTTGTTGTTGTTGTTGTTGTTGTTGTTGTTGTTGTTGTTGTTGTTGTTGTTGTTGTTGTTGTTGTTGTTGTTGTTGTTGTTGATGATGATGATGATAGTGACGATGACATTGAGGTACTGCTCGTGGCAGACGAAGAGGACGAGGTCTTACTTCATCAGAGTTATCAAGCTGGTGGTAAAGTTGATCGTAAACACGTAGTTCGTGAGATCTGCTACACAGTTTCCTCCCCCATACTCGAATTTCCCTGTTGAAAGAAGTCCAACCATCAGTCAATGATCGCTTGTGCAGCCGGGAGGTTCACAGACCTGTCACAGGATCGAATTTCCCAGCACTGAAAAGGTACATGGCGATCAGGATGACCCAGACGTACAACACTCCGAGTGAGATGAAAGTTGTAAGAGGCTGCGACAGTTGATGGTTCAGCTAACATCGCAGAAGAAGTAAAGTCAACCTGGAGGATTAAGAAAGGCATTGCAGCGATTGCCTTGGCTGCTTCAACAATGACCTGGTGCATTCGAAGTCAGTGCGGCTGAGACGAGTAGCGAGCAGATACTTTGACTGCAAGAAGAATCCGTTTGAAGAGGATGATGAGGAGGACAAGGTAGATAACGAAGAGAGCAGAGAAAATCCTATCAAAGAAGAGGCAGTAACTACTTGACCAGGTCCCACAAACATTCTTACGCTGCAAAGATTGTGATGACTGTCGTGTCTGTGTTCTGCCCCGGGATCGGCACCCCCGAGGCTTCAGCGAGAGCTGTCGATTCAAATAAGAGAGGCGAGTTAGGAGATTGCCAGTCGTTCTACCTGTGATGTTCGATTGATCTGAGAACTTGGAGAAAATGGATATCTTTGCACAAACATCACGAATTTGATATCACTGGCAGTGCCGACGATCAAACCTTCCCAGTTCGATCCCAAGCGAACAATGAGCACGCAGCGAGTACGATGAACAGTCCGATGATCACTATCTGTTTTGAGAGTGAGTCAAGAGACTTCAATGGCTTCATGCAATCAGAACAACGAATATTCGTATCATGGGAATGAAGAAAGGGTGGGTATCGTAAACATGACGATCAAATTTGGTGTATCATCATGACTGAACTGAGAAAGCGATATTACGAAGGACTCACCCAGAGTATAGCGACAGCAAAGAATCTGACAAGGAGGAGAAACACAAAGCCGAGGACCTTTACAACACATCAGTTGGCAAACGTGAGCCGCAGAAACTGATTCACTGACCAAGGCAATGACCATGCCAATGATGATAAGTTGCCATGTTTGTGACAACTCTGATTTTTTTGCATTATGACATGTTGCAAAGAATCTGAAAACGCGCTCGCACCTGCTGCGTACTGTCCTACGCTTCCCCCTGGACTCTGTAAGGTTGAAAGAGAATCGCCGAAACTTCCAATGGAGGACGGTAAACCAGCAGCTTGTAACGATTCCGACTGATAAGAAGCAAGCAGCTCAGTCGGCTGAAACATCAAGTTGTAGACTTTACATCAGTAGAAATGTTTGCTGGCAAGCTGGGGATGCATTTGTACAGGACATCTATCGTCGGGTAAGACGGGTACCTGGCATCATCAATCTCAGAAGTGTGAACGGAAGAATCTCACAGATCAAAGTGACGATGATAATGTTGCAAATCATCAAGTATGACAAGGAGCGATACCAGCAGTTCGTAGAGTTTGAGGTGGGAAGGAAGCAGTTGTCTAGAGGAGCAGCCCTGGAGCCACGTGGTAAGACAGTCGCTGGTCAAAGAAGGCAGCAATCATACACTGATGAGCCCCCAGCCTTGTTCTGGTTGTAAAACCACACACTTGCACCTCCAAGCATGCAGGCCTGTGGAAAACAATTCAATCGTATCCTTCACTTCACATCTACTGGTTGTCGCTCACGTTGCCCGCGCAGACATACGTTCCTTGCTTCACGGCTTCATCCTTTGTGAAGGCAAACGCAGTCGGACATGCTATCGTGAACACGTCACCAACTCCACATCTTTTGGATGTACAGGCTGCAAACATACTCGCAAGACACAAGCGCGAATACGGATCTCGCGGATCTGGAAGATACAGTCTCTTCTTTCCAGTGTTGTCCACATTCAACTGTCCAGATATGTCAAACGTGACATGACGTCTTTGTCATCATTCTCTCACGTCAGTGCATTTCCTGCCACACATGCATCCATTCGAGTCTGTTCCATACACAAGCTGCAAATAGCGTCACGACCAGTTGACATCGCATATGTTCAATGCTCACTTTCATGGGGTCGTTGCAGTGATTCGGGCATCCATCTACAACACAAGAATGTTATACACCATGCTCGACAACAGCAAACAACTTGAAAGGAGGAAGAAACACCTGTGAACACCATCAACGCCAGTACGATCCAGACTGCCCAGGCCAGCAAGAAGACTATCAAGCATAAAAGGTCTCTACAGCTATCGGAGTGTCAGTGAGATCAAGGGCATCTAGCTTGGTTCAACCTTCTCTTCGCAGTCTCAGGGGACGGAACGTCTGTCTCCTTATCGCCGAACTTCTGTTCATCGTCACCCATTGCGGAAAATCTGTCCATACATTCAAAAAATGTACGCGACAACCCCTTGCCCACCTGAACTAGGAAACCCTTGATGAAAAAATCCCCTCCGAGTGAACAAGAGATATTATGCGCTCTACCCTTCTGTTTCAACTATGACGCAAGTTAGGCTCTTGGAAAAGTTGACCTTCTTGTCGAAATGTAGAAACAACCGACATATATAGAAAATGACCGCGAGTGCTCCGCGGGTCACTTATGAACGGCACACATCACACAAATCATCATTCAAGGAGCAATCATCGGATTCTGTCAACAACATCTCCTCTCAACGTCTACAAACACCATCTTCTCGCGAAGGAGTCTCATGCTCGCAACATGCAAGATTCCCACTCATAACCAAGAGAATCAAAACAAGTTGAACTGGGAGGACGATTCCCGCTAGCCTCTTGGCATGAATGGGTGTTGATCACTTGTCCATGATTGTGATGATGAAGAAACAACAACAAGATCGAGCAAACATGTCAGAAGGAATCACAACTAGCGATCGGGTTGGACTGTCGGTTATTCGCGGGCCATCCCAGCATTACCCCTGAATGGCCTACCCCCACCTGACTACCCCCTACCCCCACTCTATTTCTTTAACCCCTGGTTTACTCCATGTTTTTGCTCTAAATGCACCGGTGACTTAACTACCGCACCTCCTGGCAATGAATGGAGGAGCGGTACATTTTAATACCACCATGGATTTTTAACTCTTCCCTCAAATTGTATCTTTTATTTTTGAATTTAGCACACAAGGTTTCCTGTCTTTCCTGGATATTTCACCAGCAAAAATCAACTATCTGTCTTGGTGGATCGAATTCCCAAACTTCCCAGTACCACTTGGGTGCTATGACCCCCTTTTTGACTAGCAAAATGTAGAGACACATAGGGTAGGGTACTGAAAATCTAACCCTGAGGCGGGTTTGGATGCTGAGTCGTTCATCTTCAAACAGATAATAATTTAAAAGTTTTCTGTAGCAGATTTGAAATTAGCTCCAGTAATTTATAGAATTTGCTAGCTGGCACACTCGGTTGCTCCTGGATGAAATAGCTACAGTACTCGTTATACAAATCGTTACTTATACGTTATGACCGTTTCTTTTGACCAATTTGACCGTGTGAAGGAGGCGCAGCATGCCAACGACCTAAGGCGAAGGGAGGAGAGGGAGAGGAGAGGGAGAGGACAGGGAGAGGACAGGGAGAGGCGTGGAGGGGATATGATAGGACAGGATAGGAGAGAACAAGAGGGAGAAGATGGAGAGCGGGTTAAGGATGCAGCATGTCAATGTCAATGCTGGGAGCTGAGGGACAGATGGCATGAGCACCAGGATCAGGAAAGGTGGGATGGTCGGTGCATGGAAAACATAGGATCTGACGGAATTTCATGGAGAGGACAAGGGGGACTTTGAGATTTCTGTTGAATCTAAAGGAAGAGACGATCACTTGTTGCTTCTCAGTAACAAGTTATCACTATGTGCCCGAGACGGGTGGGTCGTAATAGGTGTGCAGTGTAAGGACAGACAAGGGATGGGTTGGAGCATTGTAGCGACTATGAGGATTGCGCTTCTGGACGACATGCTGGCTCGCGAAGAGGGCTGTTTACGAGGATTCCCTGTTTTCACCTATCTTTCCATGCGTCCATCACGCACACTGACTTTTCCTGATCAGATCGTTGGGAGCAGTTGCTAAGATGGTGGAATGCACGCGAAACCGTCGAGGTGAGCGATCATGGAGGCCTTGTAGCAAGAGGAAGAGGAGGAAAACACTCCTTGTTGACACTCAATCAAATGTGTGAGGTGGTAGAGTGAATGGCAGATGTGAAAGACATGATGCATGTCTAGGGTGTTGGTTTGATGGGATGGCAATTGTGGGAGATAGAATGAGTTTAAAACGTGAACAGAGACTGAAGCATACCATCTTCGTCCAGGGCTGCTGCTCCTCGGCATCCTCCAATGCTTTTGCTCGGCGGAGACAGGACTCCCCTCCTCATTGCGGAACCTTGCCCCTGCTCGACTACACGTACGCCACGTGTCGCCATGCTGCAGGAGTTGGACCTGACTCGGTTCCCACCAGGTGTCGAAGCACAAGGTTGTTCCGAGCGTGCTGAGGATCAGAGGAGGAGCGGAGGGGAGCAGAGGGTGTTGAAGATTGCCCTGGAAGGCAACATCGGTGAACGGATTGCCTCCTCTTGAACCCCTTCTCTCTTGTGACCTCACTGCTTGTCTTCCTTCATTGCATCCCCTGCCCAACTGGAACTTCTGTGCTCATGTCTCTGCCTTGGGGACATGTGTGCTGTGGCCTCCTGGTGTTTTGTTGAGACGTGATCTTGTTTCCACTGGTCTTGCCTCAACCTCCTGGTCTTGTCTCAACCTACAGCCTCCTCATGCTTCAGCAGCTGCTGGAAAGAGCACCTTGCTCCGGATCTTGGAGGACGAGCTGGCGTACATAGCAGTTCCCGAACCTTTGTCAAAGTGGCAGCAGGTCAATGGCTCCTGTGGAGGTTTGTGAATCTTTGCACGCGGCGATGGTTGAACGGGTTCTATGCTTTCAGGAAACCTCCTCGAGCTGTTCTACAAGGATCCGAAGCGATGGGGCTACACGTTCCAGGTCTGTCGACTTGTTATTTCTTGTCGACAAACTTTTCAATCTCTAGAGTATTTATTGCATGTTGATATTGCTTGTTAATATTGCATGTTGAGATTACAATAGATTTTTTGCAGATGTATATGTCAACATGTTTCTAAATCAGCATCGATAACATGTTGATTTTTCTGCTCTGATTCATTCTGCTAGACGTACGCGTTCTTGAGTAGGATGATGGCTCAGCTGAAGCCGTCGGAGGAGCATAAGGTATTGTTGTCCATGTTGAATTGTTACAAGAACAAGTGACAGACTTGTCAAGATGAATGCAAGGCATTCTAGACTTGCTTCCTCGGGGAACAGGTCTTTCTTTCCTTCCTGCCCAGCGAGCTTGCTGCTCTGACCTCGCCCTCCTCATCTGCAGCTCCAACGTTGTATTCTTCGAGAGATCTGTCTTCAGCGACAGGTTGCGAAACGGAAGGAGACGAAAATCTTGTTGACCTGCTTCTTCGTCACAGATACATCTTTGCAGAGAACTGTGCGCAGACAGGAATTTTCAACGATGTGGAGTATAGCATCTACAAGGTAAGGATGGAGTTGTTTACCTAGGAAGTCTCGTAACAAACAGCTTCTCTTTCCAGGATTGGCACACCTGGCTGATAGAATCGTTCGACAACTTGCAACTGGACGGAATCGTCTACCTCCGTACAAAGCCCGAGACGTGTTTGGAGAGGCTCAAGTGATCCTTTCTCCTTGTTTGCCCGCTCGTTCCTGCCTTCCCCGCCACGTGTTTCCCTTATCTTCCTGTTTTTCCATTGCAGAAAGAGGGCTCGGAGCGAGGAGGGTGGGATTCCATTGGAGTACCTGCAGCAGGTGGGAGGAGGAGGTGGAGTTGTTATGGCTGCCCTGTCTTGACACGCGCAAACATGACAGATTCATGCTCGCCATGAGATCTGGTTGAAGGACGCGGACCCCGAGTTCGTTCCTGCCCCGCAGGTAGTCGATGACGAAGCGATGGATGGGTTGCGATGGATGGGTCCATGTGTTAAATCCTCCTCCCTCCCTCGGTTCCCTGCATGCTCCCTCCCGCTTCCTTCTCCCTCCCTCCCTCCCTCCTTTCGTTACTTTGTTGGTTCCCGGCTACCCTCGTTCCTCCCCGCCTTCTTCTTGCCTTATTTGCTTCTGCTGTTTACCACCCCTTTCTTGCAAGCATTTTCTCTTTCGCTCCTTTCCTTGCATTCTTCCCGCCTTTTCGGTCTGCAAGCACGCATGTTTCATTGCCATTCGTTTCTGCTCTGACGACACTTGTAGGTCGCAAAGACGCCCATCTTAGTGTTGGAATGTGACCGGGACATGTGCAAGCACCCGGAGATGGAGGTAGTCGTACGAAGAGTTTCGAGATGCGACGGTCTGACATGTTACACCAGGGCGAGCTCAAAGGCAAGTGAAAGACTTCATAAGGTGAGCAGATCTAGTTCAAGACTGGATATGCTGCTGCTGCTGCTGCTGCTGCTGCTGCTGCCCATGATGTTGAGATTCTTTCGCATATCTGATGCAGATGTTTGCTCCTTTGTGCGCAGATCATTGTTAGAGAACACAGCAAAAAGATGAGTTCTGCGTTGCAACCGCAATTTTTCATCTTATTCATTCCCTGAATGGAAAGGAGAGTTTGATCAGTCATTCCTTCAAATCTCGCTTTCAATTTTTCAACGGAGGGAAAGTATCATGAGAATGATGAGAACGATCGAAGATCGTTTTAGTGAACGTGGAGGCGTGTAGCAAGCCGTACAGAAATTGCTTCTCTAGAAGTTGTCATAAAATACAAGGAGAGAAGAGTGTGTCGTTTAATTCTGTGGTAAGAAAAAGTCTTATTCGATGCAGAAAGAAAGAGGATAACGAAACGAGGAGTGAAGGAGTGAAGGGAGAGGATAGGAGTGGAGAAAGGAGAGGAGAGGGGAGAGGAGAGGAGAGGAGAGAGGAGAGGAGAGGAGAGGAGAGGAGAGGAGGGAGGGAGGGGGGGGGAGGGGAGGAGTGGAGGAGTGGAAGGAGTGGAAGGAGT